ATTTTACTTGATAGGCTGATTTGGGCTTAACTTGATTTTGCTTTCAATTAATTTAATTTGGGCTTGACGGAAATGAAGAGATTTGGGGGTAGATTTTGCTTTTTGTAACTTGATTTTGCTTTCACTTAACTCTGTTTGGGCTTGTACTGCAGATATGCTCGTTGTGCCTTCCCACAAACTAGTAGTCCTGGTTGGATGTAAGTGTTCTGCAGAATTTATTCACGAGCACGATCACAATCACAATCACCATCTGAGTTCCTATACAAATGTGGGAGTCTCTTTTTCCACTCTACCAATCTGTTGATCCTGTAATTCTTTATTTCTAAGGAAATTCTAGAGATGGTACATTTTCTAATATTCCGTAAAATGTAAAGTATAGCTACTGCAATTCTTCCTAAGACATGATAGCAAAGAACTATGCCTACATTTTGAGATATTATTTGCTATGTCACTGGTAATATAGTCGGAAGCAATTTCTGGCTTGCTGTTTGTAAACACTTCTAATCCATCAAAAGAAAAAATATATCCATTGATCACTGATAAAACATGGCAGGCATCAGATCGTGCCATCACAAACTGAGGGTCATCTATTTCTGCCATCACCCAGCACTTCTTCACTCGTGACTTTAACTTGTCGAAGTCCATTATTTCGTCCCTCTGCCGAAATTCTTGTGTGCAATTTGTTAATACTTATGTTCCAATTACCTTTTTCTTGTAGATACTGTTAAAGCAGAAGAAATAAATATAAAGAACATACAAACATTAACAAAACTGGTTTGTGTCAACATCATATTAATAAATTTTAACGAGGGTTACTATTTTTCATGAAAAAATAACATTTCATTAATTACCGTTAAATTGAGAGCTACATTTTCACCTGATTTTTGATGATTTGATTGGACTAATTAAACCCCACACTTATTAAGCATATTGTAAATCTAGTCGAGCTCAGAAGATTCCTGTGTAAATAGTTCGTGAGAGTAATTAATCGCTGAAATTATTGATTTCGATCTTCATATGTATCTCCATTTTCCGATGAAATGTTGTGAATAGTAGATTTAGTTCTCCATTTTTTTATAACATTGTGGAAGCATATTCTTCCGGCTTTCTGCTTAGCGAGCTAGTAAATAGATGTACTCTGCATAAGAATTGTGAATCTTTATTCAGCTCCTTTTCTGGGCCAGTTCGACCTTTGTGAAGAATTACCACAAACACTTGTTTATTCCACCACTTGAGGCCAATTTTTAGTCTGGATAATTTTCGCTAGAGAACTGAGAGTCTTGTCTCTGCTATTGGTTGTTTCTAGTTCCTTACAACGATGTCCTGAAATTGGTCACCTCGAATCCACATGTTCTGGATTGGAAAAGTAGATGGGCAGTTGCGAATCCGTTTATCAATAATCTACAGTAGGGGGAAATGGTCTAAAGTGTTCCGATTCAAGTGTTGAACAAGGTGAAGGAGTTACCACTTATGCCCGTTTTGCACGAGTACAATACCTTGGAACTTCTGGAAAAAAAATCATCAACGAATCTTTCTTGGTTGATGAAAGAGCACATTAAAATCACCCCCGACAAAAACCAAAGTTCCACCCTTTCATGCATGGTTGATTACTTGATTTTGCACATACTACAGTAAATTGGAAAGAGTCGGGGCTAATGGAGTTTGTATCTCGACAAAGTCTCTATTTGAGTCCCATTTTTTAAGCACATATTTTGTCAGAATGGAATTTTTTTTTTTTTTTTTTTTTGTGTGTAATTAGAATGTAGGGAAAAAAAATTTTAATTACTTGCAAAATTATTTTATTGAGAGAATGTGAAAATTGAAGAATATGTTTAATTGTTGGACAAAACGCAAAATATGATCACATGTTTAGTAAGTACACAAAGAAAAAATAGGAAATTAACAAATGCAGAAAAGAGCAAAAAGTATTAATAACTAGTCATGTATAAACTAATTATTTGCCTCATCCTCTCTGAAACAAGTTACATTGTTTTTCATCCATTATGTAAACTTCTATACTTGAACTTCAATTTCTTATAAAACCAAGCATCATTTTAACGAGTAAATATATGATTTCGATATTCTCACGAAGGAGAACATTGATCTACTTTGATCTTCCAAAACAAAGAACCAAGCCCTACCCAAAACAATGCTAAAACAGCACAATTTTCCAAAATAAAGAACCCAGTCCTGACTAAATTAATTATGCATATTAAATCTTAAAATAATTCAAATTACATGTCAAGTACCATAAAAAAATACCTCAAAAAGAATTTTGGAATGTTACAAATTGTGTCAAACTAGAGTAGGTTCCTCACAGAAGTGTCAGATCTAGCCTAGATTTAACATGCGTATTCAAATCCACACGAAAGAACACTAAAAACTTTATTGATCCAACACCAAATCTTCAAAAAATTTCAGACCCCAAGAATTATGCAAGATCCTATACAATACTCTAAATCGATGGCTCATCTTCCCAAAGTGGTTTACCTAAAGTTTCAATACCACTAATATAAAAATCTCATGTGAAATATAGAATAAAGTACACAACAACTCTACATATCATTGTAGTATTTAAAAGTATAATCAGCACCAGCATGTACACAATTTTAGGGCTCAGATTTTGGGCCCCTATATCTCACACGTTCAACCCTAATGACAGACCCAAATCTTTAGCACATAAAGTTTTGTAACTTACGAAAGTAGAGAAACATGATTTCCTCTCAAACACTAGGGCAACAGATTGACCTTAAAGTCATTGACCATGCGTCTAATCTAATGATCTAGATTGCTCTAAATACACTGAAGTTGCTACGGAGTGGCAATCCAAGTAAAACGTGTTCTTAAAGTAGCACTTTTAAATGGGTGGGGTCCGAGCTCGGACTGATCTTGTGAGGGTTGGACCACTTGGTTTGTCTCCAATTTAGGCCTAAGCCTGAAGATCAATCATTGGTCATCACTGCCACACAATTTTTTGGCATCACGACCCAACAATAGGTAAATAATGTATTGTATTGATCAACAAATTAGAACAGCACAACAATATTAAACGACACTTTTAATCTTCGAAATATACATAATAATGTCTAATAAAATGCGAACATTAGGTGCCACTAGATTTTCATGATAACACAATGTTACTGAATAACTCACAGATCACAACAGTTGTGTGGCAAACTCCGATAAACACACAAAAAAGATACTTCTAAAAGTATAACTTCCGAAAGTGGAAATGTTAGGGTCTGGTTCTCTTTTTCTTCTCATGACTCTTCGGCCACTTCCCCGCTCACATGAGACTCCGCGTTACCTTCTTCCGTTTCCAAGGCTTCTGAAAACACCAAAATTAAGCGTACTTCATGAATTTTTTTTATTTATTTATAATGAGATACAAAAGAACTAGTGTTATTTATGCTTACTTGGTGAAATGTGAATTCAATAAAAGCCTAAATAAAAACTGAAGTCATCGTAATGGGAACATGAATAATAATAAATTCCGAGGCAAAATCTGAATGGAACTAGAGAACAAGGGTAAATTTATACCTGATGTATCGTTTGCACGAAGTTCTTGTATATCCAAATGCACATCACCACTTGAAGCAGTAATAATACTCTCACTGCTAGGAGTTGAGTCCGAAATGCCATGGTTAGTGTGTTTGAGTAAAGTACGCCATTCGTCAATGTAAATTGACTGTTCGGGTGATAGATTAGGAATTTCATGCTTCTGAAGAGCTTTCAGAATGCCTTGAGTTTCTCCCAAAAGGTGAGTTGCTTCACGTATACTTTTCTCCCGTTTTTCTATGGCGCTATTGTGGCATTTCTTGAGTACAAAATGAGGTAAATTTGTCAGGCATGCTGCTAATATATCTGCAATGATAACAGACAATCTCTCAAACACTTGAGTATCTGATGCTGAATTATAGATATCCTCGTAGACCAACAGCAAACTGTTGCTCATTTTGTACATTGAATTAGCAATTATGACATTTTTAGGCAAGTTAACTGAGCTTTCCATAGCATTTTCATTCATTCTACTCGTGAATTCCTTCAAAATTTCTTCGCTTTTTTTTGCCAGATTCTGAAGAGTTTCTTTGGAGGATTTTGATACCCTGGCAATTTTTTGGAGATCCACTTCTAACCACTTGCACCTCAACTCAACTAAAACCCATGCAAAATCTGCGGCGCCCGTGCTGCTCACCAATTTTTTATGAACATCCAGACTTTTCTCCATTAGACGCACATACTTAAAACCTTCTGTGACACTTCTAACAAACTGAGTCTTCTTCTCATTTTGAACGTTGGGAAGAGCAATCATGATGCTTGTTAGCGTTGCCACGGATAGACTCCAGCAATTAAGAGGTTCTGAGCAAATAATTGGAGAGACTTGATCACTTTCAAATTTTAATACACCCTCGAAGCTGGTGGAGTTCTCCATAAGCTCCATTAGATTTCTAGGCTGATGCTTTGTACCCATCTTTATGGATGAATTAATAGATGTGTTAATAAACTTCAGGTATCCATCTTGCATTGCCTCACTTTCTAGAAGTAAAACAAAATTTCTAAGATCTTGTTCATAACCAAGCTCGTGTTCTGATTCATTGGGATTGAATAAAAATTTCTTCAACTTCACTAAGAGTCTAATGATTTTCATCCTCCAGGTACAAATAAAGAGTAGGAAAGACCATGTGATTATACTTAGCACGGCACTGAACGATGAAAATCTGATCGATAAGAAGACAAATCCAGCAATTGAGATTGGCACGAGCAATTTATTCACGATCACAATCACTATCTGACTTCCTATACAAATGTTGATAAGTAGATTTCTGATGTGATAAATAATTTTTCTACGCTTCTGGCCTCGAACATGTAATGGTGGGAGTTTCTTTTTCCACTCTACCAATCTTTTGATCTTGTAATTCTTTATCTCTAAGGAAATGATAGAGATGGAACATTTTCTAATATTTCGTACAGTGTGAATTAAAGCTACTAAAAGTCTACCCAAAGACATGATAGTGCAAAGAAATGCGCCTGCATATTGAGTCCAAAAAACAAAATATACTGACCATTTATAATCGGAATCTGGCTCATTATATCCTTGTAATTGTGATACAGAAAAAGTATAACTTAAGGCACAGATCATGAATAAAACACCGCTGGTCTCAGATCGTGCCATCACAAACTGAGGGTTACCTGTTTCTGCCATCACCCAGTACTTCTTCACACGTGACTTTAACTTGTCAAAGTCCATTAATTCGTCTCCTTGTAGTTCCTCTACCGAAATTCTTGTACTCAATTCCTTGTACTTATGTTCCAAATATTTTTTACTTGTAAATACCGTTAAAGCTAAAGAACTCAATACAATGAACGCATAAACATTCGTAAGGACAGTCACCAGATTCCCCACTTGGAAATCACGTTCAATCACGCCTGTGAATTCTTGGATGATAACATTTACAGTAAGCGTCACTATAAGGATACCCAATGCTGTCAAGTTCACTAATATTTCTCTATCCCTCATGGATCCCAGAGAAGGCATGAAATGAGTGGTTGAAATACACAAGAAAGCAGTGCTACTACTTTTAGCGGTTTGATCGTAAATACCTTTCATCGGGGTAGTTAGATCAATTGAAAACTTCACTGCGATGGCTAACACAGTCAAGGAAGCAGCATTGAGAGCAGAATATCTGCATGGGAACCATAATTTTCTATGGCGGATGGAGATCGCTGCATCAGCCAAAAGTGCAAGAGTCCATATTAGAGATGCACCAGCAGCATATAGGCCTATCCATGGCATTGGTGCATTAGAGTCGGTCATTTTGTTCAATCGTTCAACTCACTTCCCACGGCACTTTGGATTTAAGATGAGGATGCTGAAGTGGGGGAAATTTCTTTGTTATTTCAATGCAATTTCAGAAAAGCTTGGACCATTTTGTCGGCCATACACCTCACCACCCTCATCTACTCCCTTTCCTGACTTTTCTCACCGACAGCACCCCACCACTCTCTTTTTTGTTAGAAAAAAACATAATAAAGTAAATAACATTTCAGTCAACGTAAAAGGAGAAGACCACAACTAGTATTAATCAGTGGTGCATTATTGAAAAATTCCCAAACCATCGCCACTTGTTTAATGAAGGAAACCACTCCTTTAACTAACAATTCATGCATTCAATTGGTGAAAAGATGTAGGCCATTAGTTTCTCACCAACAGCACCCCACCATCCCCATTACTCCCTTTCATTACTTATTCAATTAGTCAAAAGGCAAAACGAAAATATGTTATTTCTTTTTTCTCTTATAAAAATGACTCTCTTTGATCTAATAAGTCAATTCTTTTTTTCTTTTTAAAAAAAAAAAAACTGAAAAAACTGAATAAAATAAATAACATTTCAGTCAACGTATGAATCAGTGTTGCATTATTGAAAAAATTCCCAAACCATCGCCACTTGTTTAATTAAGGAAACTACTCGTTTAACTAACAATTCATGCATTTATCATAATTACATCTATAATGCACTTCCAAAATGGGAAAAAAAAAAATATCCATACAATCGATCTCAAACTTATTGTGAATGTGATTTAATTTAGGTTTTGATGTTTACATGTATAATAATCCAATTCATGCATTTATCATAATTGATAAAACATTTATATAATTGATCTCAAATTTGTAATAAGTCACTTTTAGAGGAGTTGTTGCCTTACTGACTTATTTTTAAATTGGAATATTGTTGCTTTTTCAACTTATCATTGAATAACAAGTACATTATTGTCTTATCTTTTTATTATTGGATCCTTGCTTTCATTCTTGAAAAAAATTTAGGTCAATCTAGTAATCGTACACTTCATGATGGATTGCAATTCCTATCATGCAACACTTCATGAACGAGAACTTGTTGAGAAAATAGATCTAGATTTTATTATAAATGAATATTATGTCTCAAATCATTAACGTAAACGATTTAAATAAATAATGTCCTTTAACACTTTTTTTATATAAAATTTATTACATTGACTTTCTTAAGTCTGGACTCCAAACTTCACAAAAAAATAATTAAAAATTAAATGTTCTCATCGATCGTAAATACCTTTCATCGGGGTAGTTAGATCAATTGACAACTTCATTGCGACGGCTAACACATTCAAGGAAGCAACATTGGGAGCAAAATATCTGCAGGGGAACCATAATTTTCTATGGCAGATGGAGATCGCTGCTTCAACCAAAAGTACAAGAGTCCATATTAGAGATGCTACAGCAGCGTATAGACCTATCCATGGCATTGGTGCATTAGATTTGATCATTTTGTTCAATCTTCAGCTCACTTCCCACGACTGCTTTTCTTTGGATTGAAGATGAGGATACTCGAGTGGTCGAGATTTCTTTGTTATTTTAATGCAATTTCAGCTTGTATTTTCAACGCGTTGATGTATTCAATAATCAAACCTTGCCACGAGTCATCTCAAGGATTATTTTGAATCATTCAATAAATGAATGAGTAATGCATTACTAGTGTTACGCAAGTTCATGTGGCACTAATAGACATTAAATGAGTGGTACAATTAAATGTGTCACCTTTCATTGAGTAGAGCACATAGCGTCACCTAGACTCAAGTTGTAGCAAGTCTAATGTTAGATAGCATTATTCATTTATAAGTGCCCACCGACCTGGACGCTACACTCCGATATTGTGGTAAAAGTAGTATAATTGGCAAATCGTTCTTCTCCATAGTGTCAAAAGCTTGGAGCATTTTGTCGGCCATTGTTGTCTCACCTTCACCTCACCACCCTCATTTGCTCCCTTTCCTTACTTTTTCAATTGGTGAAAAGATGTATGCCATTACTTTCTCACCAACAGCACCCCACCATCCCCATTACTCCATTTCATTACTTATTCAATTAGTCAAAAGACAAAACGAAAAGGAGAAGACGACAACTAGTATTAATCAGTATAATAATCCAATTCATGCATTTATCATAATTGATAAATGCATTTATATAATTGATCTCAAATTTGTAACAAGTCACTTTTAGAGTGTTGTTGCCTCGTCAGGATATTAATTTTTATTTTTTGGATTTTTGATGTCTTTATCTTTTTATTATTATTATTATTATTGGACAATTGTTGCCTTACTGACTTATTTTTAAATTGGAATGTTGTTGCTTTGTCAACTTATTATTGAATAACATGTACATTATTGTCTTCTCTTTTTATTATTGGATCCTCGCTTTCATTCTTCAAAAGTTTTTATGTCAATCTCGTAATCGTGCACTTCATGATGGATTGCAATTCCTATCATGAACGAGAACTTGTTGAGAAAATAGATCTAGATTTTATTATAGATGAATATTATGTTTCAAATCATTAACGTAAACGACTTAAACAAATAATGTCCTTTAACCTTTTTTTTATATAAAATTTATTACATTGACTTTCTTAAGTCTGGACACCAAATTTCACAAAACAAATAATTAAAAATTAAATGTTCTCATTGAGACAGAAAGCACGATAAATAACTCGTTTAATTTCAAATAAAAACATATCATATTCATGTAACAAAATTTATCAAATAATCACTGCACTCTTCGTTTCTGTCGATTCACTCCTTGAAAATTCAATTCTTTTGTAATAAATTAATCCATCATTTTTCATCATCTAAAAAATTTCTTCAAAAAAGCTGTGAGATGCTGCCACCACTACAGTGTTTGCCGATCAATGGAGGGTTTGCACTTCTATTCTCAATCAAGATTTTTTAGATGGTGAAAGATTCATTAACAGATGATGATTTCGAATCATTTTTCTTTTTCCATTTTTTTTTTTTTTCGTTCCAAATACTGTAATTTTACTTGATATGGGTCTATTTTGATGATAGAGTTCTTTTAAATCCATAAAAAACTTAGATGCCTTAATATCGAGTTTTTTTTTTTTTTTCATTTGCAATTATTTGAACCAACTATAACATAAATATACGCATAAGTAACAATGTTAGTTATTGGATCTGATACGAACTTGTTTTGATTGTTAATTGTTTATATTCAGTTATATATATTACTTAATGCATGTTTTGCTAAGTTTACGAAAATTACTTTTAAAAAAAATAATATATATATATATATATAATTTTTATGGACCAATGTTGAACTTATGTTACTTATTTTGAAAGTAAAAATACTGTCAGAATAAGTGAAATAGCAAAAAATGGTACTAACCCGACGACTATATGCTCGAGTATGAATTTTGGTCTAATTAGGATAAGTCCAACTGACCTCTTGAGTTTAGCTCCCTGGGCATGAATGTTGTATGACAGTTTTGCGTCTCCTCGGGTAAATATCTTGACTTTATCCTTAGCTATCAACGCTTGACCCATTAGGACTCTACTTCCATAAGTTAAAACTTATCCAACTTTGATAAAGTTGAGTCCTACTAGACCTCCTTTGTCCTGTCATGATAGAACTTTAACACCTTCTATGACTCCTAAAAGGATAAGATGTCAAGTAACTTAATCATGCTAAGAGTATGCTACCTACTTCTATAAATACAGGATCTCACATACCTTTTACATACTTTAGTTCACATCCTTTCGCATAAATTCCTTTCTCTCTAACTTAAGTATCGGAGAGGCGACAAGGACACACATCGACTCCTTTATTTCAAGTACTGAACTGTTCGTGTTCATTCTCAATCATTAAGCTCGAAAATCAACAAATACGAATTTTTGGTAACATTATTGGCACTGTCTGTAGGGAACATTACCAAAAGCCATGGTTAATACACATTCATGACACTTTCACACTTTCTGGTAAGCTTATCCGCTCCAAATCAGCCACCACTTATGGATCTACCAGATCCTTGTGAGAAATCATCAGCAATACCAATGCCCCAGCCAGCAGCTACTGCCACTGGAGCATACGAAGAGCTCCGCCAACAAGTTGCCACAATAACTCAATTGCTAGGTCAAAAGAATCGGCATCCATCGCCGACTTCCTAATGTGGTTTTATGCCTGATGCTCGAGCTTGATTTCCCCTCCCTGTTCTTGATATTGGTGGTGCTAGAACCTCGATCTTACCTCCTATGGCCTCAACCTCGAGATTAGTGACCATGGACTCAGGTAAACTCGCTAGAATTATACAGGATGTGATTATGGCTAGTCTACTTCAAAATACCCAGGAGACAACAGGGTTCACCCTTAATACTCCATTCACCTTGGAGATGCTGTCCTACCCTTTACTAGATAGATTTAAAAACCCTCACATAAAGAAGTACTATAGAACCATTGACCCAATCAACTACCTCGATGTGTACACGAACATCATAAACTTACAAGTTGCACCAGACCAAGTTATGTGCAAATCTTTTCCCCAAGCCCTAACTAATGCTACTAAGGACTGGTTGTCTACTCTAGAGCCCAATTCCATTGCCTCATTCTCAAATTTGGCCAACAAGGTGTTGCCTTCTTTCCAAGTAGTTTATGCATCAGAAAGACCGTTGCATCCCTCATGCAGTTTCGCCAAGGGCAAAATGAACCTTTACGTGATTTCATCACGCGATTTAATGCAAAAAGGCTCCAGATACCGAACCTACACATTACAGCCACCGTTTCAACCCTCACGCATGCTGTAAGATGTGATTCATTCAAATGCCCTTGTAAAAAATCCCACAAAAGCTCGTGACCAAGTTACTCACCCAAGGTGAAAAATATATCAACATGGATTTCTCCATACCCAATGAAGGTCAACTTCACCTCTGTGAAGCTCGAACATGAGGCAACATGAGTCCAATATGCGGCAGGATAGTGCTCGTGCTAAACTGAAGCAG